TATGGCGTGTCATCTGTGGGCGCTATGATAGTTTTTATCTCAGGTTCTAAACTGCTGTTTTTTTATAATGGCCTTACGATTGTTTCTTGAAACAGGTAAAATTAAGTTATACAGGCGGTTGTAGCAGCCACCTCTCCTCGGCACGCACATTAAAGGGAGTGTTTTACATTTGCGTGGGGTTTTGAACTGGGGCCGCCATCTTGAAGATCATTCGTTGCATTTCACAGTCACGCCCTTCTTAAAACGTAGACCCTTCTAGTTGCTGAGCTCCAGGCCCGCTGAGATGCGCAGACTTTTTCGGGGAAACTATTTCAGGGTTTCTCCGGGATCCATGACGTCATGATAATGTCATCAAAATCCTACTATTTTCTTGACCATGTGGTGACCGAGGACAAAAGATGTAACTGTCGAGTCGTTCATGTCTGGCGTTCTTGAGCACAATTTCCAGATATAATGGCGGTCAAAAACAGATACCTATCCTTTGCGTGTGTTTTATCGCATTTTCAAGCATGCAACACCACAAATTGCTGGGAATACCTCGTTTGCATGCATGCCATGCCTGGATTTGAAGCCTTCCACGCCCCAGGCACACACTTTTCCTCGCCCCACCTACCCATCAGCGCGCCTTCAATGAAATAGTAGCAAATTACAACGGCGTAGTCAGGATTTGCTGGTGGGGGGGGGGGGGCAGAGCTCAGCATGAACGCATCACGTTGACTTTTATTTTCCTGCCCGGCGCCTCCCAAGGTGAAAACAAAAATTTGGGCCTAAGAAGGGAGGGCGGGGGCAGGTCACCCGACATGACCTTGGCTGTGCACTTGGCAATTTTTACAGGCGTGTCGAGTGTAGGTGCCTACATTGCTGGGTTTATCGGTACATCTGGCATGGCCATAGGTTAACGGAGGACCGGGTGGGGACATGCTCGCTCGCCGCTCTTAGTTTTCAACGGTACGCGACATAAGGAAGGTAACTATGTGTCAATGTACGGCAATGATCAGCTTCGGCACCCACCTGCAACCAATCCGTGCCAAGTAGCCAACTGCAGAGACATTTGAGCACTTTGTAGGGTAACAGAAAGACTGAACGAAACCATTTGACCACACTTCATTCTTCAAAGCCAGCTTTGAAGAGCGTTGAGTTGTGTTACTTTGAAGTCCTCGGAGCGATGCACCCGATGTTTCCGCTGCGCTGCTGCGTCGCTGGCGGCTGTGGCAGGGCCTATGATGGATCAGGGCTTCAGTGACGTCACGTTCCTATACTGAGCCGCGTGGGATCCAACCAATAGCGAAACTGAGGAAGTCCGTCCCCCGAGTGCTGCATTCACCAGATGACGTCATAAATATCGCACTAGCGTAAGGGAATGTTGGTGCATGGGATAAAAGCGTTATGAGGAGACGTAAGCTTCTGCGGTGTTTGTACGACACCAAAAGCAAATTCACCATTTTTAAAGCGGCTTTAAACAGTTTAAGCCTTATTCATATGGTACACAAACACACCAGTCATCAAAAATTTACCATCAGATTCACCACGCTGGTCTGACGGCTTCAAGCAGCTGCAAACAAGAGCCTGCGCCCTGCTCACAGACAGCGGACTGGTGAGGTGTTCGATCCTGTGGCAGCTGTCGTTGTTTGGTGTCGCATGCAGACCAAAGGACTCTGCATGGTTGCAGTTTAATGTGTGTAGCATCTCTGGTTCCACTTGCTATCGCCTAGAACCGCGATAAAAATCCACAATTTTCCAAACTCGTGTTATGATAGCTTTACTCTCGCACTGACTCGGATGCAAGAGGGACATATCGAAGAAAATGAGCAACTTTGTACAGGATCTTAACACCCGCTCAACACGCACGTTTACGGAAACGGAAGGTTTGTAAACGCTTCCATAATTTCGTGAATTATCCCTACCGATTATCTCTGCCGAGGTCACGGGCTGTGATGGATACCAACGCTCAATAATGCACCTGCTGCGCGTTTGGTCGGACGGACCACGCGCGCAGCTAGGGAGTGATCAGCACATCCAAATATCATGTGGAAGTCTAAAGGGAGTGCCCCATCTTTGGGGCATAATTTTTTTAAAACACTGGTGAAACCTCAGAACTGGTTAGATCTGATAATAACACTAGGCATAACCACCGCAGTAACATAAAGACATAATAAGGATGTCAATTTTAATCATTTTCGAGTCCAAATTACGCTGCCAACGCTTTCAAAGCGAAATTCTGAGCTATAAAAGGATTTCGAGAAAACTGGCATCACTGATCAAGTCGTACGCGTCTGATGTAACATAAACGAGGTACAAAAAATATACAAAAAAACACACAAAAAGGCGTGATACCCCTTTAAGAGCTCCGGCAAAAAAACGTAACCAGGCTCGCATTATGTTCTTCAAATTTCACACATTTCAGAGCTGATCTGAGGGCCACACACATTTTAAATATCGTGCTTTGCCTTCGGCCCGAGTGACGCCATTGGAAACCTGCATTTTTTACGTGAGCTGATAACTTGTATCTTATACAGTGATCTATGTCTGCGATAGGTATCGGTGAAGTACCTTATACATATAGATACCCCTTTACCTACGGCATATCGGCACATTTACGCTACTTTGCGTCGCTTATCCGTGTTTGTAATATTGCAGCATTCATATCACAAACACGCATAAGCTATGCATGTTTGTTGTATGAATCCCGACAATGTTAATCAATGGTGGCTCATTGAATTTCAGGGAAAAAAGGCTGGCCGGGTATGCATGCCCTCCTGTATGCATGCTGTCCTGTCACTGTATGCATACTGTCCTAATTGAACTTGAAATTATAGAAAATAGCAAAAATCGAGTTAAATAACTGCATCGACACCATAAATCTTAGCGAAGAATCTGAGCTAAAGGTGACCTTAAAAAGTAAACAATGCATATCCTTCGGATGTTCGATTCAAATTGTTTCAGTGACGTAATATCGTAGGTCGAAGTCACACTCGTTCTCAGCACACAGCGGTGATCGGTCGAACGCTCTTGACAGCTATGAAGCCGTTTTGCCATTTTGACACCGAACATGCCACTTTGTAACCTCTTGCTGAATATACCGCAGGTTGAGCAACATAGATTATTCATCATAATATACATGTAATTCAAAACGCCATTCAATGATCCCTCGTGGAACGTAGGTGGCAGAAGACGAATCATGAGTTTCTCGGATCGCCATGTTTTAAGGCAACGTTACGGTTAATTCGTGCGCCAGGTGTATATTCGACGCATTTAGCGCCACACGGAAATTTGACGCCACACGGAAAAAGTTTGGTACGCGTCTTGGTAAACCGTATTGTTGGGGACAGTATCGGAGCAACATCCAAGTAAATGGGTGAGACATGCGTTTGGAAAATGTGGCAGCGTATTGCCTGCCTACATCTCTGTTATTTAGCGTGCCTATTCGTCAAGAGCTTTGACAACCGAAAAATGTTGACACAATTTCGTTACCTTCGGTTCTGAGGTGGGCTAGTATACTTTTCGAGCTTTTCCTCGTATATCCCGTTGGAATGGCACCCAATGTAAGGCATCTAGTGACGTTGAAAGATGCCATTAATTTTAGTTTGATCTCGAAGCCTTATGAAAGGATCACGGACATAGATAAGGCAGCACCAAAGAACAAAATACTAAGATAGTTGCAACCTCGAACGCTGTCTCTTTTTGCTGCAACGCCAGGTGACTGCTGATTCAGAATGCAAAGAATAAAATGCTACCTAACTGTCTTCATCAGATTGACAATGCTGTCCCAACTTCAAAAGAATACGTTGGCTTTGATGCCGGCTTTTCCATCGTATGAGCATAAAAATGACATGATTTGCTGGTGCTGCACAAATTTTTCATTTCTATAGGTACATTTTGTTTTAGGTACATTGTTAGTGATCAGCCACGGCTGACTATGCCTTTCATATAAATGGTAGGTAATGGTTTGGTAACCACCTCTCAGGCTGCTGTCATTATTTGTTAGCAGCCACTTTTTGTGGAATAATCAGCACATCGACGTGTTTAGCTCAATCATCCAGGACATATTTCAGTATCTATAACTGAACATACCCTTCCTGCATGATTAAAGCTCCTTTACTAGGATCCTTGCAGTGGGTATTTCCTCTAAGTTGGCGTCATCTGAAGTTTGATTAAGTTGAAACATGTTCAGTAAGTGCTCACAGGGAAGCTCTCAAATCCGGTCGAGTCCTAATCCGCATGTTGCTCAAGTTTTCCGATCCGATCCGATCCAATCCAATCCGACCGATCCGCCCGTGGATCGGTTCACCGTCTGTGGATTGTTCCCATCCGTGACGTCCTCCAGGCCGTGGGTCCTCAGACATCTATTGTCACTGAAACGCGACGCGCTTGAAAAGAAAACGAGTGCTCTGATGCAGTCTGGCCAACGTACGCAAATCAAAACTGACTTGATTTGCTCATACTCACACACATTCAGGCGCTCATGGCTGATGGGCTCGTGTAACTGTCTTGTAGCGGTGTGCTGGTGATTGTGTTTTCGTGATTAAAAATCAGTGTATTTCCATGACAACCATCACTGAATGCCCCACGGGCCACCCAAGTTCTTCATTTCACCATCAGTCTCACACCATCTGGCGCTCAGGGACCCTCCATGAATTACATCACGCACTTTCCGCGCCTTTTCAAACTTTTCCCTTCTGGCTACGCATGTGGTACGCTGGGCGAAAACCCCGTTTCCCTTGATGTGCTGGGATAAACGTAACGTTCCAAAAACTAGCGTCCGTTTGGTCTCAAATTAAACTAGATGTCAAAGAAAAAGGGACATGCTGCTTGTGAGGAGAGCATGCGAAATTTATTCGACGTAATGGTGTCAATAAAAATATTCAATGATTTGCAACCACACCTGAGCGTGAGGTTACGCTATCGAACACCACACCATCCCTGCCATTGTTACAATTTGGTTACGCACAGTCCGCCCCCCCCCCCCCCTCTCCTCCCCACTCCATGTGAAACGTGATTTATAGTCGGCCGCTAAACAAAAAAGCTCTCCAGTAACTGAGGCTTGTTGGATGGTTCCTTCCCAAACCGAAATGACGAATTTCCTATTTCTGATTGGTTACCGCACCATTCCTACACATGGCGTTTGAGCTTCGCTTACGGGATCAACGCGCACGGCATAAAACATTAAAGCCGTATGTCGTAAGTGCAGTTGTTGCTCAGGCGATGCCGGCTCATTGGCTTTAACTCATCCAATGAGACCGCCTCTTCCGACGAGAGGTGATCCCGTACCTGAAACAGTAGGTCAAGGTCACATCTGAGCAGGGGTGTGCACAGGATTAGAGACCGATGCTGCGTCCGTTGCAGCGGAAATTAAGCTGATGGCTCTGTTGGCTGTTCTCATGTCCACAACCACTTCCGGGACCAAAATATAGTATGCCGTAGTTAAAATCCCTTTTTTGTGATTTTATAGAAATTTTTTACAATTTTTTTTTTAAATTTAAAAAAAAAAATATAAAACATTTTATAAAAATCACAATATATTTTATATTGTGATTTTTTAATTTCACGGTGAGTGCGTCAATGTCTTTTGAAGCAAAAGGTCGTGATTGTCACCACAAGCTTGTGGAAAGAGTTGCCGGTTTAAGTATGATGACGAATTGAAATACGGTACCAGCTTCCCCACAGTGCATTGCAGCATCATTTTCAGCTTCATTTTGAATTAACACGATCTTTGCTATAGCCTACGTACGAGGCTCATCCAGAGATATTAAACCACTGCGTTTGTTCGCAAAATCTTCATTTAAATGGACACAGCTGCACGGGCGCATGCCCCAGGTTTGCATAGTTATAAAATTTTGAAACTTATTTAAACTGGGTGTTCTTACAGCTGCACAATTTAATCAAACCTGGTATTTCGTCACCACCGCTGCGCAGATTCATCCAGCCAATACCAATAATGCACGCGCTGAATAAAGCTGCAGTCGCTCACCTAGTTTCAACTCTAAAATACTCAGTGAGCGCGACCCGTTGGTTTTCCTGGCTTCCCCTGATTCCAGCACTCAAGCAATGCGATTTCATTTAAACTGGTGAATTTTCGTCGGGACACTTAGCATAACTGAGTTGATGTGGATTAATTTTCTACCCTGCCATGATACGCTCCCGCCATTATTTGCCCCTGCTAGCCATCTCCGATCTGTTAAAGGCTTAGAAAGGCTGATTATCAATGCTGATACCAAGACATCGAGTGCCAATTCGGGCATCAAAGTCTGCAGGACCCCAATCCAGCGCAGCTAAATAACGCGATCAAGCATCTCGTGTCGTTGGCCCTTGCAACAACATAATAGGCTGTAATCAGATTTATCGAATGGCTATTGGTGACAGTTACTGGCCCTACAGCGAATCGTTTTCCGTAGCTTGCAATGGGTTAAATGCCCTACGAAACCTCAAAAACGCCTTTGTTGGGAAGCTTTTCCACCGGGGGATCTCACGCGATAGTTAGCGTTTATAAACCACGTCGCACGACGACTGTGGCCAAGAAGGAGCTTCTGGCTCTGAGCCTCGTTCCGTTCGGGCCGAACAGAGCACGCCCGGCGCCAGAAAAACGGAGATTTAGCGTGTCGGAGGCACGCCCGACGGAAAGCGAACCGACATTCTCGGAACAGGGTCACATCGAAATGGCCGCCATTAGACGAAGCAAAAAGCTGCAGCAGGAAATGACTGCCATCGACAAGAACGTTAACAGTGACGTCCAAATTAGGGGCCGTGTAAAATGGCCGCTAACCGGAGAACCTCGCAATTGGTTTCCAGGCCTGCATGTGATGCATCTAGCAATGCTCCAGTTGCTTTGAATGGGTGATTTTGGTCCATATATAAAAACACCACTAATATGCGCTAACCAAGAAATACAACACAACCTGCACCTCTGTACCTCCGATATTATTTTTAGCACATTTACGATAAATGTAAGGGGCACTAAATAGTCTTTGCTGATGGTATAAAACTAAGCCCGAAAATGACTATAAATTGATCGCTTTAGGGTTTCTTCAGGGCTCAAGGGCAAGCACAGAAGAACTAGGATTATTTTTGAAATCTCGGCCGTGCAGTCAACACAAGGGCTAATTTAACAGCCTTTAAATATGCATAGAACGCAATAGCATCATTACATATGCACGAGACATAAAAGACAAATGAAATAGCCATAAAATATTGCACAACATCGGAGATTTTTCAGCCACTCCATCAATTCACTTTTCTCCAAGTTTGCTTTCCCTCACAAAACATTCACATTCCAAAAATGTCAACATCGAAATATATTACTTGTTGGCCTTACTTCTATCATATGAACACATGCTTTCAGAGTTGACTCGCAACTTACCCTATTTTGTGTCACGTGGCCAGCCTGTCAGTTAAAACGTTGCCATATTGCCCAAACAAATCTACAAGTGTTCCCAAAGCTGACACTTCTCCTGCCTGATGCGCACCTGTTCAACCCTCCTGAGGACCCTGAGGAAGTTGTGGCCGACCAGCCGCTTGACGTCGTCCTCCGACCAGCCGGGCCGAGAGAGGAGGCGCGCCACCAGGGCCGGGTACGACGAGGGGTCCGACAAACCCTCAGGCACTCTGTAGAGGTCACTGTGGCTTACTGGCTGAACGGCGTAGAGGGGGGGGGGGGGGTGCGGACTGCACTCTGGCACTGCGCGTGGACCAGGAGACCGTCCTGTCAGGGGATGGGGCTGGGGGGGGGGAGGGGCCCAGTCGATCGACAGGCACTGCAGGATTAAGAAGAACACCACCTCACAAAATGGGGGACGGGATAGGACGTGACACTCTGAAACGGTGTGCGTAACGAACAGCTGATTTAATATGGGTTAAAATGATTCAAAATGTAATGTTTTGGAACTATGTGTAGTAGAATTTAGGGTTTGAGCCAGTTCGAAGCTGCCACGTTCAGTAAAAATATTGTACCACTCAACTGATTAAATAGCACCAAGATATTTCTCAAAAGGCATTGAAAAGGGCAGATTTTCTTAGCGAGTTGCGCACCTAAAACAGTTCACAAAAACCAGATCCACATCAGTAAAATCAATTCCTAAAATTGGGAAAACGACTGGGCCTACATTGATCAGCACGACAACCGCCTCTGAACAAGCCTCTTCATGACACGGCGGCAGCGGAACTGAAGCCACGCTCACACCTTGTGAGCTGGCTGCAGAGTCCTCTGCAGGTTCTGCAGTCAATAGTTGTCGTTGACTAGAGGTGTCATATTTATGCCCACAGACCCGGAATTAGCAGGTGAAAACAGCTCAAAAGTGGTATCGCTAATCAGTACCCGATGTCAGCAGCATCGGCAGCAGATTCTGTGCTCGTCGGGTGGTGCCGCCGGCAGGAATACCACTGTTGAGCACTTTTTGCTCGCAGGTTGCGGGTCTGTCGACTTAAAAGTGGCACCTCTTGTCCGCAACAGCCGGCAATCGCAGAATCTGCAGTGGATTCTGCAGCCAGTCTTTAAGGGTGTGAACGACCCTTTAGACATGAAGTCAAACAAGAGTGAGACCTTGAAAAACATCAGCATTCCAGATCATCGAATACGCTGCAACATGTGCGATGCGGAGATGGTCAACTAGACTCACAGGTTGATTCCGTCGTAGCCGGCTCCAAGGCCAACATGGTCTACCCCGGCCATCTTCCTCACCCGCTCAATGTGAGCTGGAACAAACAAGCACCACTCAGCCCACGCTTGTTACCGCAGCAGCGTTGTATACACGCGGTGCCAGAAGCGGCAGGTCATCACGGTAGATTGCGTAATTACGGGGCTCCAAACGAGCAACATTTGCGACGCTGAAAATTGCTTTCTTACTCAGCAGCATCCATGATTTATTCAAATCATTAAGGTTATGTAAAAGTTGACACATTGAAGAGGAATTCTCCATGCATTAGAACTATAATGTAAATGAATTGTAATGTAAATTTTGTCCGTCCCGGTGGCTCAGTTGGTTAGAGCGCCTGCCTTCCGATGCGCCCACCCGTGGCGGGGTGGGTTCGAGTCGCTTTAGGGCGCTCGCCATTTGCCCTTGACAGGTATGGCCTGCGGCCGGTGGCAGCGGTCGCGCTAAAGGTCAGTTGACGTCAGAGGGCAAGACGGACCGTGCCGAGCACTGCGGCACGTAAGCTTTCGCCACCAAATTCTGCCGTTGACATAGAATTGCACGATCGGATGGTAGGGGTCAGGGCTCACACAACAAGCACTGCTTAGCGTGAGCTCTGGTCCCGGAAATCCATCCATTCAAAGGGTTCGGATCAAATCTTTAAAAAAAGAACCAAAACTCCATTATTTCCGTCATGGAAACGATGTAGTCTAAAGCATGTCTTTACAGCTACACTCAACTACACTCTTTACAGCACTCGCCGATTGCTCGGCGAGTGCGAGCGCTAAATTATTAATGGGAAGGAATGTATACAAAAAAAGGAAGTCAGACTGTCATAGGTTTTTTCCCTCCGTAAATGAATACATTACACAATAGCACGTCATAAATAAAGCACAACAACTTGGAAATAGTCTACATTTCCGTCTCACCACTAGCAATTTTTTATTCCATGGTGGTTCTCACTGCGCCGTTTGTGATACGACGTGCAAGGATAGCAAACACATGCCATCCAATAATTAGGTTTGTGCCGCTCCAGTAGCGTCCTCCACATTTACCAGTGCCACAAAAAACGTGAGTTGCCGCTAATTGGTTAAGCAATATTTCCACGGAAACAAAAACTGAGCACGGTATGTCCAAAACATTTGTTTACATGCCACATAGCCTGCTGTGAGTAACCTTCGGATCTTTATCGAAGATATAGTCAACACCATATGCTGAACTGAAATTTTTGACGCGCACCTGTGTACCGATACAAATATCGGAAGAGACTGCAGAAGGAAACACGACACAAATCTTAATGAGACACACGCTTTGAAAATTAATGACAATCGCAATAAGTGTGACACATATCGTACGTAATAGCCCCAGTTAACATTCCTTCTGTGTAGGTTTATGTACACATGAAAAAACGCAGGCAGAAAAAGACAAACTCTACATTACCATGATGCAGATTTCCACAACTGATGGGGATGTAATATGCAGGTAATTGTAGCCTACATTGACCAGCGAGCGAGTCTAAGGATGTTTTCGCAGCGCACCGAGAATGCCATATTCTACACGACGTCACGTATAATCTCTTCCAGATATGCTCGCAGCGACACACATTTTTGCGAGCATCTCCGTGCCTTTTTATGACAATGATTGCGCGTACGCGACGCTGGCATTTACGTGCCTGGATACCACGCGTGTCCCTATCAAAGGAACTGCACATTGCGCTTTTTGTAAAGTAAAACGCACCCTTTCTTCACCTATCGTTGGTCCTGGGCGAGCAAATTGACTTGTTTATAAATGAACTTATTGCTGAAGTTGTATAAATGAGCCTTTTGATGCAGAGCCTTTAAGCGCCCGACCGCGCCATTTCAACGTCGTCACTCCGGTTGTTCAACGTTTCTCTCATATTTTTCCGCTTCTTGTCACTTGCCCCCCCCCCCATCCCCATCTCTACCCCACCTCCCAACGTTGAGATGGCCCCCAGTAGTGGGTTTGTCACCCTCAACGGTAAACTTGGCCCCAACAGTCTATTAGTTTAAGATATAAAAAGTCAAATTGCTCCACCAATCAAAGAAATTGAACAAGCAATCGGGTCTGTCTTTTAGTCTTGGAACAAGGGCTTTGCTGAACTTTTTTTGTTTTCTCCCAAACGGCCATAATTTTATGGTGGAAGAGGGCTCAAAGACCATACTCAGAGAGACGTGAGCCTTAGCGTGTCTTCGCAATTCCTGTGCCTGCGAAGGCACATATTTGTTGCAGCCCTTATATGGTTACATCCTTCTTTGTAACAACAGTCTTATTACCCCACGCTGCGTAAATCACTGGTATGGGCTATGGGTATCGCGCAGGGCAGACGCAAAAAAACATTCGACAGTGGTTCAGGCCCACCCCAGACATGTAAAATAATCTGAATCTCGTTTTAGAAGTGGAGAGCAAAAGTTACTGGGAAGCAGAGGCGAATTTGAAATACATCACTTTCAATAACGTGCATATTGTGCGACTGCATCTGGGAGTCTGGCTGCAGACTTCTGGCATTACCAAGCCACGAAACACTCGCAATTGTCAAGTATTCATTAAAACAGTCCGATTTTCCCAATTTGCAGAATCGACAGGACTCTGAGACTTTAAACCTAGTAGCGTTATTGTGATAATGCGGTTGGAATCTTTAACTTTCTGAATTGTTTGAATATTCTCCGCCCAACTCATCTTATATCGTAGACAGATGTTCACCAACCAATGGAAATGTACGTCCAGCGCATATAGCACTGCAGACCAACACTAACCATCTTACTGGCATGAAATGTGCTTGCTCGCGCCGCCAGTTGAAAAATCGTAAAAGTGAGGATGTTGTGAGGCACAAGCCTTACACGCTAGCAAAATAAACTTCATACGCTAGGACCTTCATGCACTCAGAAGTTTGGAAATGTAAGATGAGAGGTTCCAGCGTATGTGACAGACCTATGTCATTCATGGCTAACTCGGTCCCTTAAAGTCAGAACCATATGCCACCGGCCACGCTTACCTATCACATCATCCAAGGTCGCCGTGTCCCCGCAGGTCAGGAAGCGGTTGTAGAAGCTGATCATGACGATGCCACCTTGAAGAGCCTGGAATCACGTCATGGTACAGTACCATCACTGGTTCTTGAGTGCAAATTACCAATGATGGAGATGGAGGGATGGGTGGGGGGGGGGGGGGGCGGTGAATTGGCAACCAGGACATGGAAAAGCGTGACAGAACTACACTGAACCCGGAAAAAATCCAAGCAGGCCAATTTTTTCGAACAAAAATAAAGAGCGGTACTGAATGATCAACTCTAATAGCCAACTCGTTTTATTGTCTAGCATATTTACTCCAGTGAAAGGATGGGCTTACCAGGGAATAAACGTTCAGGGTTTCGTTTTCTGGACAGCCACTGAACCAACAACTAGAAACTCATTATTTGTGTCTCATTTTTTGAGAGGTTTAATTCCGGAACGTGCCTAGGAATATTTCGCAGAGTATGACGTAATTAAGTATTGATATTTCAAGCGGAACAGATGCAGAGAAACTGAAACATTGTCATTTCTGCACTGTTGATCGAACGACACCACAACTCTATAAAGCCCAACTATAATGACGACACCAATATAAGCTGCGAAGACGTCTGAAAACATCGCAGAATTCGAGCCAGTGGTAGGCAACACTTGGGGATGACGTGGTAGGCAACACTTGGGGATGACGCCCAACGCATGGGCCCCCGATCTCATATTCATTTATGAAAACCACATGCGCGTTTCGAACCCCATCCCAAACATCATCATACCCTCCATCATACCTCAGACACGTTTCAATCCTGGCGCGACATATGTTGTCTGGTGGGTGCCTTTTGCCACGCCCCAGCAGTCAAACCACTGGGCAAAATGTGCAGGTCAAAAGGGGTTTTTGCGCTGCCTGGAAAGGAAGAAGGAATATGTTGGGTTCAGGTTGGACTTAGATTGAGGTGAATGTGACTGCGAAAGTGCTGGGCAAAAGGCGATGAGGCGTGCCGGCAGAATGATGAATTGAGGTCACGGAAAGGCAGGTGGCAGGACTGTTTTTGAAAAAGCGCGAGTTCTTTCGATTCTTAGTTCACGCCCAAAAAAGCAGTGAGATAGGGCAGCAAACCAACGTTACAAGAATAATAGATATTTTAACGGACCGAAGGTCCACGAAAGTTCGCTTAAGCTTTAAGATTTCACCCCAATTATCGTCAGTTTTAGCCGTCCCTGTTAACCTTTACGTATGGAACGTCTCAACAAGCTCAATTCGAACCCACCGAAGGCGTGAGATTTTATATTTATTGGTCTCGTGAGTTTGTAGCTTTTTGGCAATAGGCTGAGTGTTTTTTAGTTTTATGCCACTAAAACCGGGAACAAATGAGTGGTTTGAACATGAGCATACTTCAATGTGTTTTACGCACCGAAGGTGTGTGGAAGTTGCAGGACTCACGTGATTATCAGCAGCACCGCTTTCAACAGCAACATTTCATCCAAGCAGTTTAGAACAGAAATTGATCAAGTGTGGTGATCTCTAACCATTTTTAGGGGGTCAAAAGCCAGTCATATTTCACCGCATTCGGATTTCACTTGCCGATCCAGGGCTCCAACATGTCTGCTCACTTGTCAACAGACGTGACTCCTTTACGCATCAGCAGGGTGATGTGTAAGATTGAACCGCTTTTGAAAGCAGCTGAGATGCCGTTACATAACAGGGTGGCCTTTGAGCGAGAACACGGGCCCTCTGCAGCTAAAACGGCCACGAGAACCCAGAGGTCCATACGGACATGAAGAGCTCTGAGCGGGTCACGCGGACTCAGCAGGCTTCAAAGCGCTTTGAACGGACCATGGAACGCTGCGGAGCCAGAGGCTTATCACAGCGGCAGAGGGCTTTTCAGTTGCCAGAGTGAATCCTCAGCAGTGAACGAGTCGGTGACCAGCTAAAAGGCTCCTGAGTGGTCAGTGTGGCATGGAGCAGACACCAGAACCCTGAGTGATTAATATTAGCCCTAGACTCTCAGTGTTCTTGAGCGGTCGGAGGGACCCACGAGCAGCCATAAAACTTTCGGGTGGTAGGAGGACCCCTCGGTGACGCAAAAACGAATGCCAAAAGGGTCTTGAAGATACAGTTATATACACTGGCGACCAAATGCGTCGCTGAGCGACCGTTGGTCACCAGCAATCAAACGAGTACTCCCACGGCTAGAGGATTTATCAACGGTTTCCATCCGCCACCAAGGGAGCTTAGGCGGGCAGTTAAGTCCCCAAGAGGTCAGAGCGGACCTCACCTACCAGAGACTCCCCATAGCCAGAGTTTCCCTAAGCGGTCAGAGCGGACCTCACCTACCAGAGACTCCTCATAACCAGAGTGTCCCTAAGCGGTCAGAGCGGACCTCACCTACCAGAGACTCCTCATAATCAGACTGTCCCTAAGCGGTCAGAGCGGACCTCACCTACCAGACTCCTCATAGCCAGAGTGCTCCTAAGCGGTCAGAGCGGAACTCACCTACCAGAGACTCCTCATAACCAGTGTCCCTAAGCGGTCAGAGCGGAGCTCACCTACTAGAGACTCCTCATAGCCAGGGCGCCTCTAAGCGTTCAGAGCGGACCTCACCTACCAGAGACTCCTCATAGTCAGAGCGCCCCTCAGCGGTCAGAGCGGACCTCATCCACTAGAGACTCCTCAAAGCCAGAGTGCCCCTCAGCAGCCAGAAGGGCCCTAATCAGCTTAAACGGCCCGTGGGCGGCCAGCAGAGCCTGGGGCTCACAGAGAGCCGGGAGATCGGTCTGGCCCCTGAACGGCCCGTGGGCGACCGGCGGAGCCCGGGGTGCACATAGAGCTGGGAGATCCGTCTGGCCCTTGGACGGTTGTTGGCATTGGGGCTTTACGGCGCCCTCAGCTGCTGAGGCCTTATAGCGTCGCCAGTCTCCCATCCTGGCAAGAAGGGTGAGTACCGCATAGAACCGATCCCCGCATCTTTGTTTTCCAATACTTAGCGATATAATATTTACCAACAGTTATATCCACTACTCATTTAGCCTTCCTTTACACCACTACAACAAACAACCTGCCTCCGCCTGTGTTATTTTTGGGGAGGTTTTCCTGTTTTATTTCTGGTAAGACAGCAAAGCAGCACGCCCCGTTTTCTCCGCATGCGCTAATCAAAACCACGTTTTAATACATTATCACTCTGTTTTGCATCTCCTGGATACACCTTGGATTTCCTGTTTCAAAATGTCAGCCTTAATAATGCTGTGTTTGAAATTCAGATTTCATAAAAGGGGAGCAAGCACCCTTTGGTTTCATGACATTCTGAAATCCCAGCAGGGGCGGGGGAGACGGAATCTACCACCCTTTTCCTGGAGTAGGATTAACTAGCTCAGCTGCCGCTCTGTCCATCAGCGACAGGCAGCTGTTCGCCGCCCGTCAGCGTGCTCACCAGCTGTTGCAGGATGAAGTCAGGTACGTTGCGGGAGATGTTGCAGAGCGCGTGCGCCGCCGAGTGCGAGAACATAAGAGGCGCGCGCGACACGGCCAGAGCGTCGCGCACCGTCTGCGTGCTGGCATGGCTCAGGTCCACCAGCATGCCCAGCCGGTTCATCTCGCGTACCACTCTCTGCAACATGGGGGACAGCTTCAACAACATGAGTGTAACCACCGAAAGAAGCGGACGCGTCCCTTTTGCTCCCTTAAATTTTGTGCACAGAAAGCATGTTTTCACAATGTATTATTCAATATATCATCTCAAAATCTGATTGTTCCCCTTATTCCCAATTCTTTTAAATCCCTGTAGCTTTGATTTGTTTCCTTTAATCTTAGAGACGTGGTTTGGCACAAATCATGTCTTCAGCCCAGTGCCAGTTTAGCAAACGCCGCAAAAGCAATGCGTAATTTGCAGCGCAGCTCTCAAACGCCAAGGATGCCATTGTGGCATGTGTGCTTTTTACAGTTGCTTTATACACGAACAAGGCTTACAATTTCTGAATATTTTTACGGTAAGTCGCGCTCGTGAAATGTTCTCTGGTGTCCTCTGATGCGCTGATTCTGAATATTGCCTCAAATTTTGCAGTTCTCTAAAGAATTTGACCGCCACTGACGGCCTTATTTTTTCAATTTGAGCTTGCTTTTTTAATGTAACGGCGACTAAGGCATATACAGACTAGGCCGACGAAATAAATGAACATTTCTTTTCGGAAACAAAGATTCATTGCAGTGATGTGAGAGACAAGCTGAGTGTTTTACTCCTTTTCATTGCCTCGTGAGGTCATTCTAAAGATAGCCATTATCGCAATTCCAGAGCGTACGGTATGCGTCGCTCCTATAGCTGTCCTGTGCGGTGAATGGCTATCATCGGCACAACTTCTTCACCAGTGAAAGAGGTCATTTGGAGCCATATGCAAACAGACTAGGAACGATTTTCTTCAGATATCGGCGATAAGCATTTCTTTCAGAAACAAGGGGATTGTTGCAAAAAGCAACGAAAGATAATACCGAAGGACATCGCAAAGAAAGAAAACGAAAATTTCATGAAGCTGTTTGCTTTCCGATCCTGATTCAGCACGTCCATTTTTGTTGTTTCTGCTTTCATTGTTTGTAGTCACTTTGTGTAACATCAGTGTCTTCTATATGGGGCGTGTTTGCGTGAAAATTAAGCGCATTGGATGCCCCCTCTTCGGTCGCAATCTTCGCCATGGAAGGCACGTCGTTTTATAACGAGATGAGACTGCCTCCCATATCAACCTGTAGCCAACCATCAAAATAGCTTCCAATGCGCCATCAGGTTGTGCGAAAAGACATGCAGTTGAGGCTAGAGGAGTGGAAAGGACGAAACGTCAGCGAAAAGCATGTCTCCACAAAATGCTGCATCAGCAAGATGGATAACGAGGTGATCTAGATTTGGGTAGGCCCATCAATCCTCATAAACGGGAATAGACCGCGCGAAAAGCGCAATCACTCAGTTACGGAACACTAGATAACAGATGAGGAGACATCCTAAACAGTGCATCGCCGTTGTCAGTTGCCCAACCGGCACCGCTGCCGCCAGCTTAGAACTAGAGCTAATGGCGACAGCTCCTTGACCGGCACAGCCACCGCCAGCTGCTCGATCAGAACCGCTGCCTCCAGCTCCTCAACCGGCACAGCCGTCACCAGCTTGCAACTAGCGCTGCCGCTGACAGTTCATTCACTGGCATAGCCGTCTTGTTTTTTCGGGTGTGTTATTTTTTGTTGTTTTGGTTTGTTTCACACACAGTCTTGTCTTTTTGTGGGATGACTGCAGTGCGCCGAGAAATAATGTATGGAGACAAGCTTTTCGTCAATAAGCTGTCCTTCCATCTCCTGTACACTCAACTTGATTCATAGCTCTTCCCCCAGCTTGATTACACGATGGAAACGGTCCGGAACTGTCACATGGCATTAGGTCAAACTGGGAGTGACCCAGTTTGTTCATCTTGTTTCCATACCATGTGCTATCCATGGCGAAAATTGCGGCCGAAGACAGGGTGCTTAATGCACTTAATTTCCACGCAATAACACGCCAACGTGGGCATACGGTTGTTATCTGAAGCGAAAGTAAGCCATGAGAGCAGAGAACTTGTGACATGACAAAGCAGATCAGAAGGCCACCAGGTCATAAAGTTACCCATCTTTCTTTTATGTTTTATTCTCGGCACGGTCTCTTGTCTCGTAAAAATCCCGTGAAACTAATTGAGATGCCAATTGCCGTAAACCGTGTATTGTGTCTCACCTGTCTGGATGTTATTCCAGTTGAACTCCTTCACGACGAACTCCGGGCAAGAAGCTGCACCAATGACAACTAGTCCAATTTGATTGGTCCTAAGTTGCCTTTACACGCAAAAAATATATAAATTGTAAACCTTAGATATCCAGTGAAGATTAAACTTCTGGAACTTAAAATTTGAGGCAATATTTGGAATAAACATGTAAGAACGGATAAGATCAGACTAAAAGCGCGCGCTTTTTTGATGATATGTTCACAAATGCTCAGCTTAATAAGTCTATCCAGTGTTACGAGACTTGCATACAGTGGCTCTGGGGGGCCGCTCATAGACCTCGCACATCCTCTGAAGCTGGCTGACTCTCAGCGAAATGCGGCCATCGTACGGCGAACTGATACATCAGCACAACCACATTAAACTGAGGTGAAATTTGGTGCACAAGTAAAACAAATGTACGCATCATGCACCGTTCTACGCGCGGCGAGCTATCCAATTTCAGTTTCAAAACCGCGTCGCTCGTCACACGCGGATCCAACTTCAGGAAGCGGTCCAAGTAACGAAGTTACACCACCTGCTAACTCATATCGGCGATGGCAGCCGGACCCAGCCGGCAGAAGGGGGAGGGAGCGCGAGTCAGACTCCCGGGCCAAGCTACAGATATGGGGCGCCAGGGGCAAAACTTAGCGTGACCTATGAACGCTGGTGGTATGGGGCATATAGGCGAGGCGCACCAAAGGTAAAGTCATGGTAAGTGGCGTTGGCTTCGGTTCTATCCCTTCCGTCCACCCCTCTCCTCTCCCTTACCCTCATCCTCTCCCTCTCCCTCCCCCTTCTCCTCCTCTTCCTCCCCCTCTCCCTCTTCCTCCACTCCCCTTTCCCTTCCCCTCTCCCCCTCTCCCTCTTCCCCTGTTTCTCTCCAACTCTTTCAAGTCAGACAGGACACTGCTTATGCGACGTATGGATGATGGGCTTATATCATAGATAGCTCAGCTTGGATGTAGGCTATACCCAAAAGGGCAAAATTCAGGCGCAAGATCAGAAAATGATCACCCCCCGTGGCTAAATATACAAGTCATTTCGCAATCTGCAGTATAGACACGCACACACACACACGCACATACACGCACGCACACACGCACATATTCCCCCGGCATCGTTCATCAGCCCCGTCCGTTTCGGGCAGCGTTCTTGCGGCCGGCAATAGACAGGTCTCCGCCAGCTGTTTTATGAATGATGAAGTTCGCGTCTTCGGGGAGGAGGGAGAAAAGGGATCAATGGCGCCAGCGTCCCGTGGGCTGTTTGCATCATCCGCTGAGAAGACCTTGCCGCCGACGGCGGAGAAGAAAAGGTTCTCTCCAAATGAAGACGGAGGATGGATTAGTGTGATAGAGGGTCAGCTTGAGGGTATGATCTGACGGGCAGGAAGAAGCGGAGAGGCTTGATACGCCGACAATGACGCGGTGCAGGGAATTCGGCCGCGGCATTGTCGGTCCAGCTGTCGCAGAGCTAGCAGCCTTTAGGCGTGCATAGAGAGGAAGAGAAGAAGGGAGAGAGGGGGGAGAGAGAGGCAGGGGGAAAGAGAAAGAGAGAGAGAAAAAAGCGAGAGAGAGAGAGAGAGAGAGGAGAGAGAGAGAGAGAGAGAGAGAGAGAGAGAGAGAGATAGAGAGAGAGAGAGAGGAGAGAGAGAGAGAGAGAGAGAGAGAGAGAGAGAGAGAGAGAGAAAGAGGGAGAAAAAGAGGAAGACAAAGAGAGGGAGAGAGAGATAAAAGGAAAGAGAGAGACGCACAGAGAGAGAGAGAGAGAGAGAGAGAGGGGGAGAGAGAGAAAGAGAGAGGGAGAGAGAGACATACAGACAGACAGACAGACAGGCAGAGATAAAAATGAAGAGGATAGGAGAGAACGCTGCAGAGGTATAAAGACGAAGAGATTTAAAAGCACTTGACGATAAAAACAAGGGCAACTTTCTTCTTATCTCTTCTCACCTCGCCCATCTCAGTAAGTCCTCTTTGCGCCAGCAAAGGAACCTCCGAATACTCTGACCTGTAACAGCAGGAGCTTAATCAATGCCTCACTTTCAGCGCCAGGTAGCTCTTTGCCGGATGATCGGCGTGAAAATCCGCATTGTGCATAAAAACTATGATATTCCCTCTGATCAATTAGCGCTCGTCCACATTGGGGTTGAAAAGAAATAATAACAAAAATTTTCCCTGGTGGTACTCGTTTACGAGATAACCTAAGAGAGACGCTAGATGCTCTGGAATCATGCAGCCCCTTGCACACGTGCATCTAAACCAGTCACATTTGCATAACCCATTCGGCCAGTGTAACTTCTCTCATTCCTGTCCCTCAGAACGGTGCAACACTCCTGCAACACTCAGCCCCGAGCGTGGGAGCCGCGGCGCCCACCCGCACAGCTCCTTGCTAAGAGCACCTCCGGTGAGATGCCGTGCCCGCGGGCGGTGCCGGAGAATGGGGGCCGGGCCGTGTCGGAGAATGAGGGCCGGACCGGGTGGGCGTCGGCCTTTTGCCGATAATTAATAGTTCTCTGTTCGGGTGGTGCGGCGTTGGGAAGAAAGCCATCACGCGGCTGCCGCCGCGAGAAGGGCAGGTTAAAGGTCAGACAGGAATGCAAAGCAGTTTGCTGCCGTGGGGCGGTGAATCAGCCAGGACGGAGGCACTGTTTGCCTCGACGTCTGGAATTGAGTGGTGCGCATGTCTATGCACGCACACGCGTTTGCATTGGAAGCATCAACGTTCTATAAGGAACCGAAAGAACGCATTGGCTGACCAATTTAGCATAAAAAAGAAAAAAAGCTGCGTGCACTCATTACTGTACTATAAAAAGATTAGCATCCATGCAAAAAGGCGTTCGCTTCTGTCCCAAGCCACGAAGTCGTGCAAATGGGCCAGGCTGAGGGACAGAAGAATTGAAAAGTTAAAGGGTCTCTCTAGAAAATTAATATTAATACTGACCATCACGCGGTCAGTGATTCTTGGAAAGAAACGACGCAGAAACCTTGTCTCCTTGCCACCATCTTAACAGAGGATCTCTACCAACGGTCTTGCTATATGCCTGCTAGCAGCCGGTGACGCTGGCGCATAGCAAGCTACACACTTCATACCAGCCGGCTTTAGGTCGGGCTGGGATCGGCTGACATAGGCCGGCACGGCTTGCATCGACGCCCACGCAAGGAAGTTACCAGGACACGCGAATAACCTTACCAGGGGATACGCACACGGGGAGCAGGCCATTCATGCCGGCTTTCACTGCCCTGCGCCATGCCGGCGGGTCAGGAGCGGCATATTCAGCACCAATTTTCTTCAACTTTCAACTTGCATGTGCCAATTAGTCGGAGGCCTGCTGCCGAGCAGGCATGCATGATGAGAGCAGCGGTGCCCACTGACCAGGGCGTGCTGCAGGTGTGAGTCAGCGTCAGGTAGCGCGCGCCGAGCGCGTGCAGGCTCCTGAGCACGGACAGACTGCTGCCGATGGCGTGTCCTCCCTCCACGCCGAGCAGACTGGCCAGCCGCCCTCCCGCGTGGATAGCCACGATGTCTGGCGGGGGAGGGGGGGGGGGGGGGGGGCGTCACTGCACTGGCCTCTCCTCACCGCGTACACCGCACCGCCCCGGTCGCCAGCGTTGGAGACGCCGGTCAAGTGTTGCAACGACTCCTCCCCAATGTTGATCTCATTTATTTACATTATTTCGTGGGTAATGAAATGTCGTTTTCAGCTCCAACCGAAAAGGATTCATTGCCCAGTCCGGGCTTTCACCCCAGCATCGATCGAGGCTAGTAAATCTGATTCACAATAAAATGCTTTTTAACTTTGGCAACGGATAAGCTCACAGTACACTGGATACGAACCGAACACAGCGCAGTGACGGCCTTCGAGTCCCACCCTCTCTCATAATCATGTCCTATGCGCGACGCCCGTGCGGCGATGGCTGGGCATCCCTTACCGTCCGCAGTCCTCGCGAAGGCCGTGTGGGTCGGATACTTGGCCACCAGCCTCTTGACCGTGTCCATCTGCTCCAGCGCTATTTGCACAGCGTCCAGGTACTGGGCCCCGCATGGAACGTATGCACTCCAGAACTGCGGCAGGCACACGCGTGCTGAGGGTCACGCGGTTCTGGTGCTTTGGTGCGGGCACGCGCTGCGCCACGCAGGATTCAGATACCGTGCAGGGAGAGCGCGATGTGGTACACGAGGTTCCGCTACTGTGGCGATAGGAGGGGCTGCTATGTTGCACACGGTGTTTAGGCACTGTGGTGGGAAACATGCGCTGTGGTACACAGGGTTCCGGTACTGCGGCGGGAGGAGGAGCCTGTTATGCGATGCACGGTGTTTAGGCACTGCGGTGGGAAGCATGCGCTGTGGTACACAGGGCTCTGTTACTGTGACAAGGAGGAATGCGCCATGCTACACGGTGCTCTGGTACTGCCGCGCGGGCATGCGCTGTGATGCATGAGGTTCGTAAACTGAGTTATTTATACACCGCACACACACTTTAGCGGTGTGCCAGAGAAATCTGCACCAAATCAGGGCGGGTTCTGGCCTACAGGGCCTGTAATACTCTTTAGGGGTGGGATTTGTCCTGAGCTATTGAACACCGTCGAGTGTCCAAATGCTGGGCCATACGCACCACAAGAACCCAAGAGATAAGACAGTTCGTCATGGAGATCATTTTCAGCTGCCACGCACATGCGCTCAAAAGGCACCAGACGTCATCACAGCACACCGGACTTAGTTAACTTGCTTTGAAGGAAAATGTCATGGGTGATAGGGCAATAGCTAGTGCATCAAATAGGGCGATAAAAAAGTTAAAATATAGCGTCGAGACAAGTCCCCACGCTGTAAGCATTATTAAATGGAAAACGCAGTGCAGTGATACGGGCTGGTGTTGGAATATGTGACCAGCCACAGGTCCTCCCATGGGCATAGCTAGGAGACATACTGCGTACTGAAAATGTCTTGAGACTCGCACGATGGGAAAGTGCGGTTCAAAAGCATTTGAAAACGATCATTAAAAGAAACGTATGGTGACGAGCGTTCAGCACGCAAATGCCCTGGGCATCCCCATGGTGACGCCACGTTAGGATTGCCAAATCCAGCACCGACTAGGTTCCGATCCCCCAACCACCCCGGCCCCCTGGCCTTAGCAGCGTGTGCTGTCCCAGTTTCAAAGGTAGCGCCCCAAGTGTTGACGGACAAAGTTCGGCGACGCACGAAGGCTTCCAGGCGCAGCACGCGCTGTTGACTGTGGCGCGCCCGCAGTTTTGAGATTCGCTCTATAATAACAGGTCGATTTGGAGAACACTGGAGCGTGGTCCGACCGCTTTGAGTCGTCAGCTGAATCAGCTTCTTCGTAAATTTCATGAGCTGAGTTGTAGGCCGATCATTTCTAACAATGTTGCGTCAGTGAGTCATATGGCTGAAATAGAAATGATAGCATTAGGAAATACAGCATGCCCTAGGCAAATTAGCATATCATTTCAGAGCATCGAAATGAACAGTACGCAGGACTGGTTACAATTTTCTTGGCAATATCAGCGCGAAGGTTGCTATTGTAATTTCTAAGCGGGAAATACAATGTTGTTGATCCTGAACTTAAGTTTCCCAAATTTGGACTAGGAGCCAGAGAATGCGGGTTATATATATATATATATATATATATATATATATATATATATATATATATATATATATCCTCTCTCTCTCTCTCTCTCTCTCTCTCTCTCTCTCTCTCTCTTCTCTCTCTCTCTCTCTCTATCTCTCTCTCTCTCTCTCTCTCTCTCTCTCTATCTCTCTCTCTCTCTCTCTCTCTCTCTCCTCTCTCTCTCTCTCTCCTCTCCTCCTCTCTTCTCTCCTCTACCTCTATCATCTATCTATCTTATCTATTAATATAATATATATATATATATATATATAATATATTTATGAGTGTGTGTGTGTGTGTGTGTGTGTGTGGGTGTGTGTGTGTGTGTGTGTGTGTTGTATGTGTGTGTGTTTGTGTGGGTGTGTGTTTGTGTGTGTGTGTGTGTGCGTGTGTGTGTGGTGTGTGTTGTGCGTGTGTGGGGGGGGTGGTGGCGTGTGTGGGTGTCAGAACCGAATCAGATCTTTGATTTTGCAGGTTGCGAAAGTCCTGAGTCAAATGGATTCCATTCAAGCAATGCGCCTAAACTGAGTTGAACAAGCTATGAGTCGTGAGCTGAATCGGATCCCGAAGCTCGTGAGCCGATTTGAAATTTTGAGCCGAGCACAAGCCTGCTTCCTGGTGACCTCAGGCGTGACAAAAGGACAGCCAGCGCCCCACACCCACGCTCCCGATCTGTCAACCAGGGCTTGAACTGGCCTGGTGACCATCTGTCAGTGGCGGGGCGGGGTTTATTGGAGCCAGCGTTCCGTTCGGATGGGAGTGACCAAATCAAAATCTGATCGTGTTTTGCTGAGTAAGTGGCAAGCAGATTTTTTGCTTCTGTGAGAACACAGCAATCCAATTTACGGTCAGGATTTTTTCAGAAGTCCTAAAATGTCTCAAATATTGAGAAGTATAGGAAATGGATAGCTTGGCAACGGGCACAGAAGCTGACTCTGAGTTGCGGTGGACAGACTGACTTTAATATCCGGCGGTGAGTCTGACCACGAGATCCGGCCGAAAGCCTGACCCTAAGTTCAAATGAGCAGGCTAACCATGAGGGACCCTGAGGTCGAGCGGAGAGCGTGACCATAACGTGCGCCCGGGTGGGGGTTGAATTAACCCCCCCCCCCCCCCCAAAGGTTTTCCGGAATGGTTTCCGAACGGCGCGGCGTAGTCACGCCAAATTTTGCATAGCTCTAGACAATTAAATGGTGGATCGTTTGATGCCACGAATTTAAATGTACATTGTGATGTCGCTGACCTATGGCGGCTCAAAGTTGGGCGGTCTTTTCAGCGAAGTCAGTTTCTAGGGAGTTGCTCAATCCGATGCAACAACGAAGTGCTAGGCGAAGCCGTACACCTCTGAGATACTTTTTTAGGTAACACAATAATTAAATGAACAAATTATATTGACGTTAAGTCATGTTTAAAGGTCAGAGTAAGGTAAAAACCAGCCTGTTTTATTACTTTATGGCTTGGCGTATGGGGTAGGTTTTGGTGCTCATTTCGAATTTGCTGATGACAGAAACCGCATTATATATCTTCCATGAGTTTCTTAGGGGTCAGAAAAGATCATCAACCTAAAATGACCTAGGTCAATATTTTGTTTTTAGGAACGTACTGCCTGGTGTAATATTTGCCGTTTATTCAGATGCCAAACTCAAAGCAGTCATGTATGATTTCGGTCATCATGACCTTCAAAAGGTCAAACAATGTCGCTGACTTTAACTGAGCATGCGACCTTTTCTTAAAACAGTTATCTAGATTCTGGAGGACTTTGGAGACTGACCTGAGATTTGACCTCGTCTGACGTTATTTAACTCAACGGTCATGACCTAGAAGCCTCAGACTTAGACCAACGGGATTTCACATACAGGCCAACATGCCCTGTGGATTTGGTGTCTCTAGCTTCCTTAATTGTTGTGATCTTCAGGGGGTCCAAATGACCCACCGAGCGAAGGGTATCCAACCGGCCACCCGGGCACGTGATAAGGGCCGACGGAGAGCCTGACCATAAGGTCCGGCGTAGAGCTTGACATGAGGTCCGACGGAGAGCCCGACCATAAGGTCCGGCGGTGAGCCTGACCATAAGATCCGGCGGAGAGCCTGACCATAAGATCCGGCGGATGAGCCTGACCATAAGATAAGGAGCCTGACTATAGGGTCCGGCGGAGAGCCTGACCATAAGATCCGGCGGTGGGCCTGACCATAAGATAAGAAGCCTGACTATAAGGTCCGGCGGAGAGCCTGGCCATAAGGTCCAGCGTTGAGCCTGACCATAAGATCCGGCGGTGATCCGGCGGAGAGCCTGAGCATAAGATCCGGCGGTGAGCCTGACCATAAGATAAGGAGCCTGACTATAGGGTCCGGCGGAGAGCCTGGCCATAAGGTCCAGCGTTGAGCCTGACCATGAGATCCGGTGGAGAGCCTGACCATAAGGCCCGGCGGGGCGGTCGGCCCTTGCTGCCCGGTGTTCACGACTGCACCGGGCGACGGCCGATCCCTCGCCAGACTCCAGGTCATGTGTAGGTTATGACACAAAGGAAGGGATGTCGGAGGAAAGCGAACGTATTCGCACCTGGGGTCCTGGTGCGGTGTCTTGTGGTTCACCACTGAATAGTGCGTGATAAACTCACGTTATAGTATTCCGGCGTACGTGGACGTCATCCCTGGCGATATGTCTTACCGGAAGAGGATGCACTGATTGGTCAAGGGGGTGCCAACGGGGTCGTGACTACGCCATCCCCTGATGGAGGAAAAGCTGGACGGATCTCCCTTTTCCTCCAGACACAGTTTCGCGTTATTTACACTTGGCCTTCCAAAGATTTGCTATTGCAGCCGCCATTGCGAGAAGCAATCCAGAAGCACGTCTCCGGACCTATTGCCACACAAACTACCTGACAAAGTTTTCTCTCGCATCAAACGGCCATCTCGAGGCGCCCGAAGCGCCAGCTGCTGGCAAACTCGAGCCCTACGAACGAACGGCAGGCGGCCAAACGACAGAATGAGCGTGTCTCCCCGCCTCGCGGACACGACGCAAAAACATGGCCGTAAATGGCCGGAGCGGCAGAAATCCGTTCGGCGTCGGCTTGCCTGGTTTCGCTCTGATATTTCGTAAACACTCGTGCTGAAATGCGTCTGCGACGTCGAGCCCGTTCGCTGGATGGTCCGTAAACAGGACAAAGACGTGTTCGTTCCGGGGGTGGCGTGGCAGCGCTGTCAGAGTGAGTCTGAGCAAAGTGCTGTGTATTCATCAGCATGCATAAGTTATGGGGGACGACACCGCGCACTGCCAAAATAGAAACAACAGGCTGACCGTATGGGGAAGCGCATATTGTACACGGGCTTTGTGTCAGTACAACGGGCTGACAAGAACGAGACGCACACAGCAAGAGCAAGAGCAAGAAACGGCCTTATTCTTTTTGGAGTGTGAGCTGAAAAGTAATACACTTAT